GTGGTCACTTGCCTGGCAGCAGCACTCACACTCACACCTAGGGCCTGGGCCTCAGGTTCTTCCCAGTACCCCTGAGCCTCAGTTTCCACAGCTGCAAAATGGGACAACACAACCCCTAGCCCCACTACCCAGTAGGAACTCCCCAACACAGGTTCTTCAAACACATGCAAACCCCACCCCACCTGTCTGGGTGGTGACCACTGTCCCCCACAGAGCCAAGGCCTCCTCTCTCCTCCTCCATGTCCCCCCTCCCCCCACCCTAACCCCTCTGATTCTCAATATAAAGTCCACAGGCTGACGGTCAAGGTCTCTACTTAGCTCATACTTTTTCTTTTAACAGCCCTCCAAAAGCACCCTCTTTTCCACACCCTAACTTCTCACCTTTCCTCCCCTCCCCTCTCCCTCCCCCCTCCCCAGTTCCTGTGAATTCCATGCACAAGCTCTTCCGCCAGCTGGGAAAGATGCTCTGCTCCTCTCTGTGGCCTAAAGGACTCCTACTCATCCTGCCAGAGCAAGCCTGAGTTCCTCCTCCCTGCGAGTTTCCCACCTCAAAAGCCATGTGGATCCCCCTCCAGGGTCCAACTCGCCCCCAGGAGTGGAGCTATCCAGCAGGATCAGATCACTCTTCCCTGTCCCATCTTTCCGCTGGACTGGCGGAGTCACCTGTGTCCCCAGAGGGGGAGCTCAGGAAACATTTCTGAATTGAAATTCCTATTTCACACAGGAAGCTGAGGCCCAGAGAAAGTGTGAGGAAGAGTGGGCTCTGTCCCCAGCCCCTCACACACACACCAGAAGCCTCTTCCGGGGCTGGGCAAGGGGGCTCACCTGGTTATTGGACAGCGGCGATGGGAAGTGGTGCGTGTGCAGGTTCTTGCCAGTGAGCACGTGTGTCAGCCTCACCGCCTGCCCGCAACGCACTGGGGACCCGCGCAGGCACCCGCCCTCCGAGCTGCCGCGGATGCGCCAGTAGCTATTCGCGTCGTCAGACGCCTCCACGCCGGTCACCGACTGTTGGCCGCTGCCTGAGGGCGACACCCCACCCCGCCCCCGGGGTCGCCTTCAATCCCGGAACTCGTGACCCTCAGCCCGGACACCATAAACTTTCCAGGACAACCTCAACCCTGGCACCCCAACGGCCCACCCCAGCCCCCACCCTTGGTCCTCGGCTGCACTCCTAGTCCTTTGGCCCACAGCTCCCAGACGACCCTCCTTCGCTCCCAATATACCGACGACCCCCTCCAACTGTCAGCCCTTGTCCCCCCCGACCCCCTAATAACTGCAGCCAGATAACCCCAGACCCTTGGCCCGCAGACCCCCACGTTCACCCAGCCCTCAAACTCCCAGCCCCAGGCCCCGCCCCCTAGCGAAGCCCGGGTCCTAGGCCCCGCGCACCGGATCCGTATTTGACGTCGTGCGAGTGCAGCCGCACCCTGTGCTGCGTGTTAAACAGCTTCAGCACCGACCCGCAGGTCACGAGCCCCGCGCCGGTCTTGGCGGCACCGCTGCCGAGCACCAGGAGCGCCAGCAGTAGCCCCAGCAGCGCTGCTCCAGCAGCTCGGCCGCATCCAGCTCTCCACATCGCCCCAGCCGGGCTCCGCCAGCTCGGATCCTTGAGCCGCTTCCGTCTCCGCAGCCGGCCAATCCGGCTTTGACAGAGTCCGCCACGGCAGCCAGTCGTGGGTCTGCACGGCGTTCCTCCTACCCTACCATTGGGTCGCCGTGGAGAGGACCCTCCCCCCAGCCTTCAAGAGCCGCTGCTGGGAGGGAGCTGGAGACACGAGGAGGGTTTTGATTGGTCCACGCTTCCGAGGACTCACCAATGAGCACGAAAGGAAGGCTGGTGCGGCTCCATGCTGTGGGAGAGCTGCCTGGGAGCAGCCGTAGGTGAGGGCTTCCCAACCAGCCCCCTTTGAATTCCTGTTCATGAAGCTCCTTCACCCCAGATCCCCGAGCCCTCAGTCATGGCCTCTCCCCTCAGACCCTGGGTTCGCAGCTGCAGGGTCTTGAGGTTGCTCGACCACTAAGTTTTGTGGTCACAAAGTCGACAGATCTCAGACACTGAATCACCTGGCCCTTCAGTTCCCGGACCCAGGGATTAAATAATCCCCCAGTCACTTGGACATTGTCCCCTCTCTAACATTGGGTCACCTCGCACTCCCTGGACCCTGGGGTTTCTGAATTCACATAGCATCTCACCCACTCCTTCCATGACACTACTGCCACTGGGCAGCAGATGGCAGCAGGGAGCTGTGGTGGTTGGCACAATGGCATGTTCTTCCCAGAAAGCCCCAGAGCTGTCTTAGGAAACCAGAGCCCCGGTAGAAAGTGACTGTAGGAACCAAGCCTCGGTGAATGTGTGTCCCATGCATGGGTCCCAGTCTCACTGCCTTCTCAGAGGGCTGTCAGCTCGGTCTTCAAAGAGTGGGAAACTTACACCCCTGCTTATCTACCCATTAGTGAAACATTCTGACATTGACTTCACTCCAGGCCCTGTGCTGAAGCCACCCGGGAACTGGCTCTGGGCTACATTAACCAATAGGCTGAATACCCATGCACTTGGGCACCAGCAAAGCAGGGAGAAAAGTTCATGTTTAATTAACTCATCCAGAATTTTGCATTCAGAAAATTCAGAGTAGAGCCACTTTAATTACAGCAACATGTTATTTTGGGGATTTCGTGCTTAATATTGTTTTTACTTCAAATTATTTATGGGATAGTGCACCTCCATCTTTCTAGCACTTAAGAGTGTCTAAATTGCTAAAAGTCTGCCTTGGATTTGACAGATCCTACACTTGAGGGGCCTCCAGTCCAGGGTGGAGGGGTTAAAGTACAATCTGGGAAGCAATGGATGTGTCCTGTTGCCCATACCAACCAACACCTCAAACTTAATATGTCCAAAGCAGAATTCCAGGTCTCCTCTCTCAAACTACCCCCTACCCCCTGCCAGGTTTCCACATCCCAGTAATGGCACCTCCAGTCACCAGTTGCTCAAACCCAAAACTTGGGATTCATCTTTGATTCCTCTCTTTACAGCACTCATATCTAATCCAACACTGGCTCCAAAACAGATTGTGAGGCAACTCTCCTGCATCCCTCATCAGCACCTTAATCCAAGCCACCCCACTTCCCCTCCAGATATCTACCACCACATCCTGATTTCCCTGCTTTTGATACTCTGGCCCCTCCAAGACATTCTCCACACAGGAAAGTGACTTAGGCATTAAAAAGTATAAATCAGATCATTCCAGGCACTTGCAGAAGGAGACAGCTGTCAAAAAGGAAACTGTTCATCATTCTTTTTGCTCCCTTTTCCTGTTTCTCTCTGGAAATTGAATGACATTCCCTGAGTTAGTACAAGCAACTTCTTCGAGGTCACTGGAATGAAGGTCATGGTCCCAATAACACAACCCTCAAATATACAAGATTTTTCATTCCCCAATGTCATATTTGTGGGTGTCTATGGCTGCAATAGACTGTATTTCTAGGCTTATTAATGAAGCAAACCCCTAGTTGGAATAAAAAGCATTTTAAGAGAGATATTTTATAATTCAGTTATATGCTAAATGATCAACCTAGTGTATGGCCAGTTTTATAAAAAAATTGCTTGTTTCAAAACAGTGTATTTCTTTTGTGTTGGGTGGGCTCAGGATTCAGTATATGTCTGAATAGTCAAGCTTCTTGAGTGTTTTGCAATCTCTTGTTTTTTAATCCTTACCTGAGAATATTTTTCCCATTGCTTTTCAGAGAGAGTGGATGGGAGAGAAACATTGATGTGATAGAGACAAATCGATTGGTTGCCTCCCACACACTCCCCGACCAGGGCCAGGGATCGAACCCAAGACCCTTCAGTCTGCGGGCCAACACTCTAACCACTGAGAAAACCAGCCAAGGCTGAAGTCTTGTTCTTCTACTGAGCAAGTTTATAATAATTACCCCACTCTAGAAGTGAATTATAAAAAAAATAGCCCTGGCCAGGTGGCTCAGTTGGTTGGAGCATTGTCCTGTACACCAGAAGGCTTCAGGTTCCATTCCCAGTCAGGGCACATGCCTAAGTTGTGGGTTCGATCCCCAGTCAGGGCATATATGGGAGGCAACCGATCTATGTTTCTTTCTCACATTGATGCTTCTCTCTCTCTCTCAAATCAGTTTTTAAAACCCCCCACCACATATCCTTGGGTAAGGATAAAAAATATAAAATAAAACCCAGCATCATGACAAATGGTTTGGAGCCACTTAAGTCTCAGAGTGGTTTCTTACACAGCAACAGACACCTGGAACAGGAGCTAAGGTCAGGTGTCTCTAGTACCATGTGCCAGTGGTTCCCAAAGAGAAGGGTCTGCTCCCACCCCAGGACAGTCCCTGGACATGTACCTCTGAGGCTGAGGTAGCGATATGTTCAATTCTCCCTTGAGGACTTAGCAGTGGGACCTGGGAAGTTGGTGGATATCACAGCAGCTGCTCTCAGAATCTTAGGGCTCCCCTTCTTGGCTCCCTCCTGCCATCAGGATTTCTTGCCTCTCTGGAGAGGGGTGGCTACACTTCACCATCCATGCTTGTCTTCAGCCATCAGTGCAAACTGAACCAGAGCCTCTCACTGCATCCCCATTGCAGTCTCCTGGGAAAGAACCTTACTGGCCTAGCTTGGACTGGAGATTGTGGCCCCACACTATGGTGGTGGTGGTAGTGGGTGGCCTCAGGGAATAGGTCTTATGGGCTGAACATGTTCCCTAAAAGATCCTACCAAAAGAGCTCTGTGGAAAAATAGGTCCTTGACCCACCCCCCGACCTTAGGACTCTGGTCCCTCTGACTGGCAGTGGAGTAAGCTCCTCTCCCGAAGTTGTAAGATGTGGGTTGTTGTGCGGAAGGTCCTCCCTCCCAGCTCCAGAGGAAGCTCTACAGTTGCTGTGTCCTTACCCGGGGACCACTGACCATGGTCAGGCTGGGTTGAGCAGACCAGGCCTCTCTGCACCCAGGTAGGCTCCAGGGGGAGGCGTGAGACACCTCCTGCATGGTGAGGCAGCGTGGAGCATCTTCACGTGTTCTCTCAACCATGGAAAAAGGGTGGTGAGGGGAGAGGTTGCGCTGGTCCCTGGGCAAAGATGCCTGAACAGGGGCACAAACAGGCTGCCCTAAGAAGGCAGAGGGAAGGAGGGTGCTGAACTGGTGGCACAGGAAAGCCAGAAGCCCCAGGAGAACCTTGGAGATGAGATCTGCTGGGCCTACAGACCCTTCTGGAGAAAGTAGCTCTGCCCAGCACCACTAAAATAAGGGTAGTCATGTGGCCAACTTGGGCAGTCAGTCCACAGCTTAACCAAATAGCAGCCCCCATGTGGCTTGGCATAGAACCCCCAGATTCAGGAGTTGAAGGTAGGAAATACAAATTACGAAGACAGGTGGCTGTGGAACAGCAGGAAAGGGTGGTTCCTCAGTCAGAATGTGAGGGTGTGGCATGTCACAGGGAGGAGGGAGCTGCCCTGGCAGAGGAGCAGCCCTCTGGAAGCAGAAGCCGTGATGCACAGGAGTTGTGATGTAGGAGCACCAATGACCCAGCGAGGCCTGAAGAGCCAGGAAGCTGCAGACTGGAGTACAGAAACCCACGAACAGGGATGTGTGTTCAACAGAGCACGTGCGGTCACAGGGTCAGAGCACTGCCAGCTGTCATGAAAGCCAGCTGCGGCCAGGCCTGGCCCGCTGGAGGTGCTGTCCAAGGACAGGTGAGCAGATGCGTGAACGGGAGGCTGAAACCTCCAGACAAGAAAACTGTGCTCCATCAACAGAAGCTTTATTTTTCCTGTTGGCTCTCTCGAGAAGCCAAGCAGAGCTTCTTGTGGGCATTTAGCCCATTCCAGCCTCTGCTCAGGGCAGGGGCCAGCTGGGGGGCAGCATTTCCCTGGGGCAGGAGAAAGAGTAGGGGATCCGGAGCTTGGTTCAGCTTAGGGGGGCCTTGGAGAATCTCCAGGGCCATCTAAGGAGTGGCTGATCTCTGCCTACACTTGAGGCTCGGGGTGCCGTGGGTCTCACGCTCATCCCCCCAAACTTTCATAGTCCTTGTCCTCACTCTGGTCCTTGTCATCTTCCTCCGCATCCTCACTGCTCTGGCTCTCCCCCACGTCCACTGCTTGCTCAGACTGGTGAGAGCCGTCAGTGCTGTAGCATGTGGAGAGCGTGGGCTCCAACACGTTCACGGGCTCTTGCTCCTCAGCTGTACTTTTCTCCTGAGGGGTGGGAAGCTCGGGACCTGGCAATTCAGAGTGGAGGGAGGGCTCCTCGGCCACCTTCTGATCCGTGACAATGGCTGGCGTGGACGACATGGAGGGGGCCTCTGTGCTGTGCTGGGAGGTATCTTGGTTGCTGGTGTCCTGGTGGGAGACAGTGTGCTGGGAGGTGCTGTGCTGGGGGATGCCATGCTTGGAGGCCTGCAGAGATATCTGCCGGGCCCATTGGGCCTCCTCCAGCTTTTGCAGCAGGCAGTTCCAGTTGACCTCTGAGGACAGGCAGATGTGGGAGCCTTTCACTTTCTTGAAGCCCAGCAAGAGGTCCAGGAGGGTCTCGGTGATGGGGAAGGAGATAAGGCCCAGCCGCTTGTTGAGGTTCCTCTCAAACTTGTACTTGCAGACAAGCAAGGAGACAGCCTGATCCATCAAATCGTTGACAAGCTCCTCTAACCAGGGGGTGGAGAGGTGGGACGTGGACTTGGAGGAGATGGAGGGCAGTGTCATCTTCTTCATGTAATTGGGGCTCTGTGCAGCAGCCAGGGAGGGAAAGGGAGACAAGTCATGCCACTCTTGCTGCCCTGGGATTCCCCTCACACCCAGAGTACCCTAAATGTCACCCACATGGACACCATGCCTGTCACACTAAGGGTATGGCCTTGACACATCTGCTCTGCTGTCCTGCTCAACAGCTGAGTACAGGTCCTGCATGTGGGCCAACCCTCACACTTATCACACTTATCACACCAGCCACACCAGTCAGGCCCAAGACAAAGCTGGTGACTAGTCACATTGCCAGCCAAACTGGAGCCTGGACAATCTAGGTTCCAGCAGGTCTTGCCCAGGCCAAGGTTCAGAGGAGGGAAGTATGCCTGGGTCTTGATGGATAAGAGAGGGTCTGGGGCTGTGCTGGAGACCCACCAGGGTGAAGCCACCTACATCTTCCCCATACCCTTCCCGGTCAACTCCCTGTCATCAGCGCAGATACACTGAAGCCCTGTTCTAGGCAGCAGGACCAGAAGGTACTAGACCTAGGATTCAGGGCCCCACTCTGGCCTCAGGCTGCTGTCCACAAGGAACAGGACCCTCCCCACATGGAGGGCCTGAGATTCACATGCAAATGTTAAAAAAATACCCAGAATTAAAAATAGCCTTTATTCATCTTTGACAACACTGGCAGTAACTAGGCCAGGGTTCCTAGTCCCCATCAGCCTGTCCCCTGCTCAGGTGGTTTCCATAGTACTGGGCAAGAGACCTAAACCATGGGCACCTGCCAGTGACAGTGGCTGCTAGGAATGGTGGCTGAAGGGGCCTCTCCCTTGCAAACTTGTCCCTAAACCCCCCAGCCCCACGCTTAAAGAGGTTGTCTCCGGACACAGTGGAGTGATGGGGAGAACTTCCTTACCAAGGAGGCAAGTGGTGAGGACACAGGGAAGTGGTGGGAGGAAAAAGGGCAGGGGGAGGCATGCAGAGGAGCTGTGACTTGGGTGAGGTGGGTCTGGCTGGACACTTCCACCTTGATCCTGGGGGAGGGCAGGGTGAAGTGTAGGCTCCACCAGGGTTGGCCCTTTGGCTGGAGTTCAGGGGCCCAGGAAAAAACATGGGTGGTCTCTGTTCTTTGGGGTCCTGGTCAGGTGCCTCCTGCCTGGGATGGGGTGAGGGAACCTTGGGCTCTTCTCTGGGTATCACCTGGAGCCTAAATCTGGTGGTCCCTTGGGCATTAGACATGGAGGAACCATCTTCCTTCAGCTTGCCCCGTGTTCTGGACTTTGTGTTCTTTCTTCCACCCATCTTGACACTGGAGGTTGTGGTGGGGGCCGTATCATCAAAGGACTCCTCCCCTTCAGCAGGTGTGGCCCGCTTAGAGCCTGGCGTGTCTTCTGAATTGGGCTCCCATTCTGATGGGAAGAGAGGGCAGCCATTCTGGCAGACAGCACAACTGAGCTTGTCCACAGCCTGGCTGACTACACTCTGCAGGGCAGGGAAGAGTTGGTGCTTGGCCAGGAGGTCTAGGGTCCGATGGGGCTCACGGAGCGAAGAGTAGCCAGGCAGGTTGAAGGACTCTGGCTGGCTCAGCAAGGACTTGATCTCCTTGTTGAACTCTCTCTTGAGGAAGGTCAGCTCTCTCTCTCCAAGCCCCGGCTCTGATGCTTCGGTTGTGCCCAAGCTTGAGGCCAGCGAATCCCACAGCAGGGAGTCTCTCTGGGAGCAGAATTGCCCCAGGCGTTTCTACAGAGAGAGGGGGATTCTCAGAGGTGTCCAGGAACAGCCAAGCCAGGCATGACCCTGGGCTCTGGGCTAAGCTCCATCCTACCTACCCCAGGCCATGGCCCCACATCTCACCCCTCTGTTCTCCAGCTGCAGCAGCCGTTTGAGGCTCTTCTCCTGCAGAAATTTGTCCCTTATGGGTGGCAGTGGGCCCAAGCCCGGGTAGCCCAGGTTGCTGTCCTGGCAGCCAGCTGTGATACTGCTATGTGAGTCGGACAGGGAGCTGGAGCAGGATGGGTAGTTGTTGGGGTGCCCAACACAGAGGTTGGGCCGGACATGGTGCCGGTGCACAGTACTGAGGCTAGGCCGGGCACGCACCCGCCGCCCACCCCTCGGCACCTCCACTGGATCCTGCACCTCCACCAGGGGCACCCCAGTCTCTGTCTTCATGGTAGCCATGCGCTCAGTTGCTTCCTCCACCACCCTCTGCAGGCTGTCCAGCACCTGGCCCTCGACAAGAAAATCCAGGAAGCTACCAAACGGTGGAGGGCCCCTCGAGTTTCTTCGATGGCTGCGAGGCCCTGAGCTGCCCGAGGGACCACACATTGTTGGCGGGTGTGGCATGCGGCCCAGCTTGGAGGTCTGCCCCATTTCCGGGAACACTGGCTTCTTAGGTGGCTGCACCTAGCAGACAGGCATGTCAAGTGGGCAGGAATGCCCCAGAGGAGGAGGGATCCCTGGGGTCCTCCTAAAGAACCAGGAGCTAGGTGGAGAGTGGGCAGCGGAAGGAACTGTGTGTTGGAGTCAGGTAGCCCTGTGTTTAGATCCTGATTCTGCCACCTTCAGGCTGTGTAACTATGTGCACAATGGCCCATCTTGAGATCAAGTTTCCTCTTCTGCAAAGTGGGGTCTATTTAGGATTGCTCTGAGCTTCCCTGACCTGTACATTTCACGTACACAAGCCCTGGCCTGGAAATCTGAAGGCCCACTTCTGCCCTCACACAGGGTGTGAATGGGTGATCACAAACCCCCTCTGAGTCCCACTTGGGCTCCTCATCTGTCTGTAGAGCAGGCCAGCCCTGTTCCACTGCTGGGCTGCACAGACCCCCTGAGGTCCTGAACCCTGCACACCCCACAGCTACTTCTGCAACTTGAGTCTTAAGCCCTGAGTAGACTCCATGATCCCACTCCGGCCGGGTCTATTAAGCTCCTCCCAGGCCTCTGGAAGTCATGGGGACACAGGATGAAACTGAGGGTGACTAGGGTCAGAGCAGTGGTCAAGGAGATAAGGACGTCATTAAGGGGCCCAATGAGAAAGGGATGTTGTGATCTGGGATCCCGAAGCTGGTGAGGAACATCATGGGGTCGGGCCCTAGAGCCAGGCCCTGCGGGGCGCACTTACCCGGGCCCGGTGCGTGATGTGCCCGGCCTCATCGTCCGCAAAGTATCCCGAGTGGTGGCGGTAGCTGGTCATGATGTGGGTACACCGGTCCGCTGCCAGCCTTCCTCTCTCCTTGGTTTTGTCTTGCAGCCGCGGATTCCTCTCCGCGCTGGGCGGGGAGATGGAAGGCCCACTTCTGCCCTCACACAGGGTGTGAATGGGTGATCTCCTCAGGGTTCCATAGGTTCGAGTCTCCGTCCGTCTGTTGGACACTGCGTCGGTGGCCCAGGGGTCCACAGGTCCCTCTCCACCCCCACACCAGGTCCCTCACGCGTCTGGCCCTTCCCTGCTCGGAGACCCCTGGGCGTCTGCGTCCACGTCCACGTCCAGAATCGTCGGGGGTGGAGTCCCTGAGGACGTCCTTATCCTGTCTCTGACCATGTCCAACCCTCTCCCCTCCCAGACCCCGGGAGTCCTGGCGTCTGTCCCCCGAGGAACCCACAGGCTCACCAGAGTTGGCGCCTCGCTGGGCGCCAGCCAGTACAATCTGCGCCCGCTGGAGGGCAGCGCGACTGTGCTCTGGGTAGCCCGGAGACCACCCCGCTTGCTCATTTGCATGCGGCATCTTGATTGGCTGTCGACGGGCGCTCTTTCTCTAGCTCCCCCGACACAAAGGTTGTGGGCGGGGCCCACATTGGCCCCTCCCCTATTTCCTCCGGCTCTGCCACTCCCAAGTTCCGAGCTGCGAGTGAGAGGCTGTGATCCCTCCTCCATATCTGCCCTGAGGGAAGCCTAAGGGACAAAGTCAAAGTCTCCTCTGGTGACTCAAGCACATTCTTCGGCTCCCCTCAGGACCCTGCGTCGTCCTGGGCCTCCTGCTCTTCTTTCCAGTATCCTCCTCTCGCCCAGTGTGGACAACCCCAGGGTCTGTCTCGAGCCCTCTTCCTTCTGCAGTCTGCCTGAGCGCAGTGGAAAGAGTCCCGGCTCTCATTCCCACATCCAGCTTCAACTCCCCCCTCTGCTGTTTCCTGCCTGTAGACTCAGCCTCTCTGATCCTCTGCTCCTCTATAAATGGAATTGAATGTCCTCCCACATGGGAGTATGGAGATTAAATTTCCATACAACACACCCGGCACCCCATTTGATCCCCATATAGCTTTGCCTCTTCTCCCCCTCTGCCTGGTAAACTCCTCATGCAGTCCCCCTCCCAGGTGTCCCGTCTCAGAGAAGTCTTCCTAAAAGACTCACCCACCTTTTCCCAACAGAATGATCGCAACCTCCGTCCCAGATTCTGCCACACTTTGTTACTTATTTGTCTACCAGATGGCCTCCTTAGAGGTAGGAACTGAGGCGCTCACCCATGATATCTAATATTTCTAATACCACTTAGTAGTACTAGAATAGATGCTCAATAAATGTCAATTCCCTCCTTCCAATCTTCGGACACTTGGCCTTTTCAGGATCAGCTTCCTAGTGGAGAATGCTGGTTGATTGAGGCCCGACGATTTTTAAAAAATCTGTTTTTATTGATTTTAGAGAGATATGGGGAGAGAAACATTGGTTGCTGTCTCCTGCACACCCCCTACTGGGGATCGAGCCCACAACAGGGGCATGTGCCTGATGGGGAATGGAATTGGGATCTCTCCCTGCACTGGACCACGCTCAACCAACTGAGCCACACTGGCCAGGGAGAGGCCCGACGATTTAATAATCACATTGGAACACAGCAGTCCTTATCCCAGGAGCTCAGTGAACTCTTTCAGGCCTCCAATTCTTGCACTGCGTTCACAGAAATTGGTATAATTTGTTATTCTCCAGCTCAGCTTTCCTCCCTGCCCCAACCTAGGGGCAGGCAGGGCCTAAAGGAACAGAGCAGACCCAGAAGCAGGCTCAGAGCTTCGGAGGTAGTCCCAGCTCCACTACTCCTGGGCCACTTTAGGGAAGAAAGTGCCCTTCTCTGAACCTCAGTTTCTTCATCTATAAAACAAATTGGTAAACAGAAAAGACATCATCAATGTCATAGGCTGAACACAAATGCTGCATTTCCCATTGGGAAATGGAAGACAGTCACATCATAATGAAAACCCTGGTTATCAACGAGACTATTTATATAGTCATGGGTAAGGAAAGCTTTTCTGGACCACAGAGAAAAAAAGGAGGCAATGAATGTAAAATTAGCCTGGCACAGAACTCAACAGATAGAAGCAGGGGCTAATGCTTTCTCAAATGAAGCCATTGGTATTACATTTTTCTTTCATTTTATTGTTCAGCGCTTTTACAAATCACACACACACACAAAGCCTCTTTCTTAAAAAAAATCAGAAAAAGACAAACAGGCAACACGAAAGAGAATAAATATAAAGAGCTAATAAAAACATGAAAAAGTTCATAGTCGTTATAAAAAATTAAACATTACAAAAATGAGATAACATTGATTTGATAATTATTTCTCGAAACTTGGGGTGGGAGAGAAAAAGAATTGGGTGTCTGTTTGCTTAGCGAAAATACTGGAAGGACACTATACCCAGAAAGTTAACAGAGATCATCTCTGGGAAGGGTAAGAGATTTCTTCCTTCAGGTTTTCTTTTCTGCATTTTTCATGTTAAATATCATTTTTGCAGTCACTGAAAGTTTCGCGTAGCAATAAATCCAGCGGCGGTCTGGTGAGGTTGGAGTCCCCTGGGTAGAGGTGGGAGGTCGTTGCAGGGCCACAGCAGGACCGCTAGGTGGCCAGAACAAAGGCGAAGCGCAGACGCGTCGGGGTGGGGCCTCTGGCTGCGTTTAAGGGCGGGGCCTGGGCTGGTCCACTCCCGAGCCTCAGGTCCCCAGCCGCCCGCACAGGCAGAGATGGCTTGGCCGCGCGTGCGGCTCGTGGTTACTGCGGATGACTTTGGTTACTGCCCGCGGCGGGATGAGGGCATCGTAGAGGCCTTCCTGGCCGGGGCTGTGACCAGCGTGTCCCTACTGGTCAACGGCGCGACGGCGGAGAGCGCTGCGGAACTGGCCCGCAGGTGAGGAGTGACCCCCTACAGAGTCAGGGCGGGATTGGGGCGCGGCTACTCCGCGGCCGCCAACGCTCCCGCTCGCGTTCCACCCTCAGGCACCAGATCCCCACGGGACTCCACGCCAACCTGTCCGAGGGCCTCCCGGTGGGCCCGGCCCGCCGCGGCGCCTCGTCGCTGCTCAGCCCCGAAGGCTTCTTCCTGGGCAAGATGGGATTCCGGGAGGCGGTGGCAGCTAAAGATGTGGCCTTGTCCCAGGTGCGGAAGTGCGGCTGCAGGAGGAGGACCACCGCTCCAAGGCTCCTCCCCGAGGGTGCCGTGACGCAATCAGGGGCGGGAGCGGGCGCTGCGTGCGTCCCGGGTTCCAGTTCTGGAGCTGTCACAGGGAGGCACAGGGAGGGGTTCTCTTCCGTAGCTGCTCCCGGACGTTTAAGGTGCCTATTGGCCTCTCATTCCAGGTGAGGGAAGAGCTGGAGGCCCAGCTGAGTCGCTTCCAGGAATTACTAGGCAGGAACCCCACTCACGTGGACGGGCACCAGCATGTGCACGTGCTCCCAGGTTGGTGGTCCCAGGCAGGGGGCGGTGTGCCCAGGTGGGGTGGGAGGTGCTCCCAGGTGAGGAGACCCGCACCTCCCTGACTGTGCCCCGCCCGTAGGCGTGTGCCAAGTGTTCGCAGAGGCGCTGCAGGCCCACGGGGTGAGCTTCACGCGGCTGCCGCTGGAGCGCGGATTGGGCGGCTGTACGTGGCTCGAGGCTCCCGCGCGCGCCTTTGCGTGCGCTGTGGCGCGTGACGCCCAGGCTGCTGTAGGCCCCTTCTCCCGCAGTGGCCTAAGGTGAGGCCCCCCCCAACCGCAGTGCCCTGTTCCCTGCCTGGCTCAGGTCCCAGTGGGTCCAGCTGGCCGATCAGTTGGCCAGCTGAGTCCGTTTCTCAACATCAAAGGGAGTCAGGCTTCTACCAGTGGTGTCTCCACCCCTGATCTATCTGCCCTGGGCCTAGCCCTGCCCGTCATTGACCTACCAGTCCCTGCTCTGATGCCTGGGTATCCACAGGTGGACTGATGTCTTCGTGGGCCTGAGCACCTGTGGCCGGCACATGTCTGCTCATCGAGTGTCAGGGGCACTGGCTCGGGCCCTGGAAGGTACACCCATGGGCCACTCTCTGACAGCCGAGCTGATGGCCCACCCAGGCTACCCCAGTGTGCCTCCCGCGGGAGGTTGTGGTGAGGGTCCTGATGCCTTTTCTTGCTCTTGGGAACGGCTGCATGAGCTGCGTGTCCTCACCGAGCCCACGCTACAGGACCAGCTTTCTCAGGATGGCGTGCAGCTCTGTGCCCTCTATGACCTAGATTCCAAGAGACCTGGGGAAGGGGTCTCTGGTGAAGCCACTCTAGAAACCTTCCTGGAGTCCTCCCAACTGTGACCCTGACAGCCAAGAACTAAGGCCTTAGTGCTCAGGAAGGAGGCAAGGGTTGAGCTTTGGCACAACCCACAACCAAGCCCCAGAGTGGGTTCTGTGACTTCCCTGGGCAGAATGATGGCCCCTCTTTGCCCAGGTCAGAGTGGTGGCCAGAGCTCCAGCAAGCCCTCTTGGCTGCAGGCTAGTCAGCCTGTGACATCTTGGCCTGGGGTCTGCGAAGAATTTTGTACTCTTCAGGTTTCCACACAAGCATCTTTGTTTAGGTGTAGTGGGGAGAGATCACTGTATTAATAAAATAATGTGTCTTGTAAACTTTGAATGATTTATTAACTGTGCCCAGAAAACCTTCTTAGGCACACTTATGGACAAAAGCAACTCCTTCGGGGCCCAAACCAGGTCACTATTCCAGAAAAGATATGTAAAGCAAACTCCACTCTCATTTTGTTCATGCTTAGATTTTATTCTTTTGGGAGGTGTAGGGGGAGAATGTCCCACCTGGATACTTTTTGGGAGGTATATGATAATCTCAATTTTTGTTTAAAAGTCACCTGTTCCAAGTAAGCAGCCCTTTGTCATCCTAGAGGACAGGTCAGAGGAGATTCTGCAAACTCAAAGAGTACATTTAAATTTTTCCAAGGGGAACAATCTTCTGTGGAAGTGGGATCCTGGATTCCCAACTGGATCTGGTGATGTGTGGATCCCCTGTGACTGGAGTCCATGTGGCTTTGATCAGGCGATGCAGGGAGCAGATGGGAAGGGGTAGGGAGTTCTTGGGAGCACAGGGAGTCCTGACCCGCTGTAGAGGATGGAAAGACAGATGGAAACCACATGGTCCTTCTTGTCTCTTGTAATACTGCCTAAGTGCAGGCACTAATGTTCCCATTTTATGGATTTTAGAGAAAGGGGAAGGGGGGATAGGGGGATGAAGAGAAACATCGATGTGAGAGAGAAACATTGATTGGTTGCTTCCCGGGGATCAAACCCGCAATCTAGGTATGTACCCTGACCGGGAGTCAAACCTGCAACCTTTCCAGTGTATGGGACAATGCTCCAACCAACTGAGCCACACTGGCCAAGGCATGTCCCCATTTTACAAACCTAGAGGTGGGAGTGGCAGAGCAGGGCCTTGAAGCTACCTGTTCATGTATGTGCCAGGCATGAAATCAGGTGTCAACAGAACTCTCTCCTGGCCCAGGCAGCCTTGAGGGATGTGCAGCTTTCTGAAGAGGTAAAGGGGGGGTCTCATTCTTCCCTGCCTCCACCCACCTACAACCCCATCCTTGATTATGGCTTCAGCGCCCTCTTTTCTGCTTGTCTTCCATCCTAACCTTTCCTTGACCTTTACTCTTCAAGGTACAGCCCCTTTCCTCCTACCTTTCATCCACGACTGTGAACTGGAATCTGTGAGTTTAGTCCCTCCTGTTGCCTCCCCCTCACCCCTTTGTCTCAGCCCATGAGGTCTGGCCACACTCCTGCAAGATGCTGGCTGGAGCTGGTAGGGGGGCCCTGAAGGCAGCCTGTTGGCACAGGGGCACCTCCCTCAAGGGGGGTTCTGCTGTTCTGAGAGGAGGAGGCAGCTGGACAGGTGGTGGACGGGAGAGAGACTTGGGGATCTGCACAGATGCTAGATGAAACTGTCATCCCAGGAAGGGAGAGAAGCATGAACAGAGATGAGGGCCCAGACCAGTCCCAGGGACCATGAATGTTTAACAGTGGGGAGATGAGAGGGGGTATGGCCAGTATGGGAGGACAATCGGGAGACCAAGGTCTACCTCTTAAGTAGAGGGAAGGTGATAAGGCAGAGGGCCACAGGCAGCACAGGACCCATTTTGGGGCTGGCCATTGGTGGCCCACCCACTAGGAGGCAAGGGTATTTCTTATTCCAAATCTGCTGTGCACTGGGTGACTTAGGTAAGAGGTTTACTGTTATCCACCAATTCATCAGTCACATATAGAAGGCTTGCTCTGTGCCAGGCCAGGGCTAGGTGCTGGGACACAGCCTGGTCTACAAGGAGCTGTTTGCTACACAGGGACAGTTGGTGTGATCCAGGCTGCAATGAAGGGGGGTGGGGCCAAGGGGGGTTCCTAACCCAGTCAGGGAATGCTCTTCAGAGGCAGTGACTTCCATCCCTGGGCCTTGGTTATGGCCTCTGTGGTATTGGGTAGTCATTTTTGCTGTGATCCTATGAGGCCCACATGGTGCCCCCAGGAGCCCAGCCTGCAAGCAAAAACACTTCCAATCACCCAGGATTGGCCATTAACAAGTACTGCCTGGCCCCAGCACTATACTGAAGTCCCAGCTTTAGCTTTGGTCCTCAGGTTGTTCCCACTCCTCCATGTTACATGGGGGAAGCAAGGAGAGAAGCTAATTCTCAGATGGGGCAGGAAGAACTCGGACCAGCTCTGGCTTTGCTCTCCGCTGGGTCAGGTGGCTGCCCTGCAGGGTGAGGACAGAGGAGCTGCCAAGTGATGAGAACAGGGCTGAGGCCACCAGCCTATGGACTTGGCCCTGAGGAAGCCCTGAGGCCCTTGCCAGAGGATCCTCAGGGCTAGAGGATAACAGAAGTCAGGCTGCTGTGGGCACAGGAGTGATAAAGTAGTAGCATATTTTGAGCTGATTAAAACTGAAGGAAGGCCCCGGCTAGTGTGGCTCAGTTGATTGGAGTGTTGCCCCGTGCATCAAAGGGTCGCAGGTTTGATCCCTAGTCAGGGCAGATACCCAGGTTTTAGATTCAACTTCTGGTCTGGACACACTTGAGAAGCAACTGATCAGTTTCTCTCTTAGACCAATGTTTTTCTCTTACTCTATCCCTTCCTAAAGTCAATTTTAAAAAAAAAAAGGCCGGCCAGGCATGGCTTAGCGGTTGAACATATTGTGGTTCGATTCTGGGTCAGGGCACATGCCCGGGTTGTAGGCTCCATCCCCAGTGGGGGGCTTGCAGGAGGCAGCCGATTAATGACTCATCATGTTTCTCTATCTCCCCCTTCCTCTCTCTGAAATCAATAAAGATATATTAAAAAAACAAAACAAAAATGAAAGCAATGAAGGCAAGAAAACGGTAACTCCAGGGTTGAGAGGGTCTTGCAGGCCTCTGGCTTTGGGGAGGGGGTAACTCTGGCTGTGTCTGGGCTCAAAGGGACCAGTGGTGGAATTCAACAGGAGCTAGACTAAAAACACAGGCCTTGTGCCCTTGGCTGTCACTGAGGCTTAGTTTGTTCCTCTGTAAAATTAGAATAATGGTGCCCATGGGGTTGTACTGAGCTTCACAGAGAATAAAGTGCTGAGACATGGCAGAGTAACCCAGCTGATGATCAAAGGAAAGGACTCCTTGCTTCCCGTTAAAATGACACCCCAGATAAAATATTCCCTCCCAGAAACCTGCACACCTGGCTGACAGAGCAGGCCTGGTCTCAGCTGGTGTCATTACAGGCAAGGAAGTTGGCTGATAAAAAAAAATAGCATTAGATGTCATGGCCAGGTAGCTCAGTTGGTTAGAGCATCGTCCCAATGTGCCAAGGTTGTGGGTTCAATCCCCAGTCAGGTCACATATAAGCAACCAATATATCCGTAAATCAATGTTCATCCCTCTCTCTTTCTCTAAAAAAATAAATTTTAAAAATAAATAAAATAACCCTGGGCTGAGTCAGTGCCTCAGCAGCTCACTGTCCTGGGGACTCAGAGGTTTCTGGGTGGAACCCTTCAAGGAAATGGCCTAAGGACACCCTCAGGCACACCCTCATTAGTTCCACGACCTTTATCAAGAGAACCAGTTTGTTCTGCTAAATGTGGATCATCACTACTTTGGGGCTGATTTGACTGAAGTGATACATATAATACACCAAGGTGCTGTCCCTTCCCGACACCCAAGGCAGACCCCAATAATAGGGACTCCAGCTTTTCCTGCTCCTCTTAGGGAAGGCCTCTGTGAGCCTCTTTTGGAGACTGGGTCATGGGAAGAGAGGAGCAAGCAGAAGCTGTGAGAAACCAGAGGCCCTAGGACTTGGGCCCCAGCTACCGCTCCCACACCTCTGAGTGCAGACCCCGGCACTGCCCACCACCAGTAAGGAAAAAACCCACGCAAACAAGCCAGTGTTGGAGAGCATTTTTATTAAGGGCAGCAGAATGGGATCGCAGCATCTCAGTCTATTCTCTGCCACAATGGGCAGGGGCAGGGAGGGAGGGGGAGGACCCGGCCCACTTTGGTTCAGTTCAGGTGGGTGTGAATTCCTGAGTGGGCCCGGGCCGTGGTGACAGCCCTCCCCTTCCCCAGAGGACCCAGCTTGTTTGGTTGCGGAGCTGCCAGGGCACCAGTATGCTCAAAGCCTGTTCTGAGGGCTCAGCGAACACCTGAAACTGCTGCAGGCTGGATGGAGCAAGCCACCCAGGTATTAGGGAGGGACCACCCATGGCCTCGCTCTCCCAGGGCCAGGCCTCTCCTGACAGGGACAAACCAGGGTCCAATGCCAGGGCTGAGTCCTTTGAGGGGCTGCCGGCATTAACAAAGGTACCTCCTGTGGTGAACAGAGAAGTGAGGGGTGACAGGCAGGTAGAACTATGCTGGTAGAAACACGAAGCAATGGGACGGTTTCCAAGAATAGCAATAATTCTGGATTCAGAAAAGCAACAACGATGGCTTATTTGGATTGCTTCGACATAATTTGGCATTTTATTACAAATCTGTGTGTGAGTGCAATAAAGTCCATCATCACCTTCCTGCTAATGATGAGACAGATGTGGAAATGCTGGCCCAGCTCTCCTGGGCACACAAGAGTCTCCAGAGCCTGCCCCTTGAGTATCTAGGACAAAAGAAGCTGAAAGTGACACACTGCAGGGGCCATGAGCCTGGACAACTAAACAACGTTATGCTGCCTAACCTACCCCATTACTCCCATTTCTGCGCAAGTAAAACAAAGCTGTCTTACAGGTCATAAGCCCTAGAAAGATCTCAAGTTTTAGAACTAAAATTAACACAAAGCAGTTTCTTTAAGTCATTTCTCCACAGAATCTAGTACCCTGGAGAGCCAAGAAGGGAAGCCCGCCAGTGGCAGAAGCGGAGCTGGTGACACATGGCATTTGGACCACTGGCTTCCTCTGGCTGTCAGTGTACTCTCTACTATTTCAGGGACAGTCCCATTTGCTTTGAAAAAGACATTAACATTCAAATCCTTACAAGTTCATCTGAGGATAATTCTAAGGTCAATTTTTATTTCTACAAAAAAAGGCAGTCAAAACAATATAAAACACATGTAAAGGATATTATTGAGTGAGCCTCAAGTGGAGCTTGACTCGGCAAAGGCTGTGAGTCCAGAGG